TCAGACTCCATTCTATCCGTTCATGAAAAGCCTCCTCGGTTACGCAATCCTTCCTTGTCCTTCAAATTCATCTGGTCACCTCGTCGCTGGTCTTCAACATTCCAAATCTCCGCTTTTTAAACGTTTTCATCACTCACGTATGGTGCTTTCATCTATGGTTTCCTCTTCTAATGTCTTTACCAATCTTCGGTGGATTTCCGCATCGCTTTGGCCTTGACTTGAAAGAAGACGTTCTTCTTTCTGAACCTATCTTTCCTGGAATAAACTCGGCCGGTTTTGTCTCCCAAGTTTCTAGAAAACTGGAGTATATATCAGTTTTGTTCCCTAATGGCGCGTGGTTTAAAGTTATTTAATCAAGAAAAAATCATGAAGGTCCACTGTATTCGTAAAAGTCGAAATAAACAAGATAAATTGAAATAGAAATATCGTAATTGTTTGCTCAGGGCCACAGTCGAAAGCGAATGTTTACCTAATAGGTTACGTTAAGCCACTTGGATTCATAATATCTAAAGACATTAACAGTGGCTTGCGTAGGGAAATTGGGCCTATTGACCTATTTTGAAATGTGTATACCTATATCCAGATGGCTAAAAATAATAACATGTAAAATAATCAATATGACACAATAGGAATACACTAAAGAAGTGTTTATCTATTAAAAAAAACCTTAACATTTCAATATCCACACTTAAATGTAGAAGAAGAAGAAACGTATAAATTAAAACCAAAATTAATAAACTGGAAAAGAATACGTTTTATAAGATATAATAAATAGACAGATTTTTTTTTTTAAATAACTTTTCATACTGTTAAAAAGGGTTATATCCATTGTGACAAGCGCAGATAAGTACTATTCAAATAGCTATTCAGCTATCACGGGGTAAATTGGGGGGGATTTGGATAGGTTACACTATTGTGCTTCACCGCTCTATTCTACTGCATACGGCTATACTTACACAGATTTATTGTTGACATAATCTCATTTGTTTCTAAAAATTGGAATATTTTTTGCCTGCAGCTTTTTGGGAATAAAGCCTTTTTGATACAGAAGTTTCATTACTACGGTAAGAGAGAAAGGGAAATTTTGTCCTGAACAACTCGAGTAGGAGCGACACGTAAGCACCCCTATTCTAGAAGAAGTTTCACCCTGCAACAACAATAACAGCAACAGATGCGACTGTGATCACGACCGCGTTGACCGCAGTTAACGTCAATCTGTCGATTGCTCTTCGGTTTATCGAATGCCTCCTACCCCCTGCAGTGAGATGGCGGCCATTTGCCCCTAGGACGGTTGGATATATTTTTGCATCGGTTGTTACCCTACTTTGTCAATCCGTCTTGCCATGTCTATTTTCCTAATGCGGCGGCACATCCCCGTTCTTTCTTCAGCACAATCTGAGCCCCTCACTGACTTGCTGGTCTTTCTCATGACGCCACACCCATGACCAAAGGCCATGTACAAACTAGTTGAGCGTTCGGACGTAAAGTCGAAAATACCAGTTGCATAGAACGTCCGAGATACGCAGACGACCGATAGTGGCTGCCGGACTAGCGCGAGCTGCTCAACGTCTACATCACCGGAGCGAAATTTGGGATCATCAATGGATAAAACTGAAGCCTTTTTCGCTAAAAACTCTTTCCCTATTTATATGGCTTCGTTGTTGATACGTCGGCAAGCGGCAACAGTATCAGCAACACAGCTCCGTCATGCACACACGCATATATATATATATATATATATATATATATAATTATATATATATATTATAATATATATATATAATTGTAACAATAGGTTTCTAAAAAAGGAAGAATAAAATCGTCATAGTAACGGTTCCAAAAATCCTTATCGTATAAAAATTAACGTATTATCGTATATAAAATTGAACGTCAACGGGTCGAGTCGTAAACTCGGCTAGTTGGCTGGAAATTTATTCAACTAAGTTCTTTTTTTAGTCTATACTTATTTTATTTTACTTACATTATTATATATATTCCTTATACTTATTTTTCTGTTCAGCAACATTTGTGAACAATTACAAGCAGTAATCATGAACTGTATATACATAGCGATAATAAAACAAAAACAATTTATTTCATTATTCTGTTCCTTTCAAAGGCAAAAAAAGCTACCAATAGGTGCCATCTTGTCAAGCACAACTTACAGTGTATATGCAGTATTCATTAGAGACCCGATACCCCCGGAGAGATTTCTTCTAATTAACTGCCCGCTTTTTCTAAGGTATATCAAACTTGAAGGATCCTCGTGTGTCCTATATCGTTCAGAAAAATTCTTTACTAATATTTGCCCGACTATCCCGCACACGAATCCAACACGTTATTCAAAGGGTTTTGTTTGTCAACTAGAAGCAATTCAAGGACGTATTTATCTAGAGAAAAAGAAGAAAAGCAGGACAAACTAAAGACGATAACGATAAAACTCCATAGTACAGGAATGGCAGTATCTAAGCTACCCGGATGATAGGTGTACACCATATACATGCTTGCTCACTGTCCGGTTTTTTATATAGGACAAAAACATATTGCTAAACAAATTGAAAGTGATCAGTGTGCATATGATAAGATACTTAAGCGTTGAAGTTTACAACCATTCTGTGTATTATTATGAAGACTTAGTAATACGAAGGAGTGATACGTTTTCTTCAAGTACAATTTTCTACGGGTAAAATTAGAACTACGTTGCTGTTGCGGTTGGATCGAGTTCATATAACGCAACGCTTTTAGCTTCTCCAACACTTATTTGTATTTTTTTCCCTGACATTGTTAGCAGTTATGGAATAACCTGCATAAAAATTTCATTTTCCTAGACGGATTTTCGTCCTATATGATGTTCATTATATAGTCAGCAGATCAAAGGTACTCATTGGCCGTGGAAATCTATGGACCAACGAAAATTTTGCTACGTCATGATCTCCCCAATTATCCTGAAAAGCCACCGAAGCTGTTTTTGCGAAATATCTGATGAGACTCCATGACTCACTTAGTTTTTTAAATAGTTAGCTCTTTTTATTTAAGAGATATCAGATCACAGATTTCATGTTATGTCGTTATTTTTTTTATTGCTAAACAATAATCAACATTTAGTTGGAAAGCATTAGCGTCGGTCCGCTTGTGTTCTCTATCGCCATATTCAAGAAGATCAGTAAGAATGATGTAACTGTTCTAATACCTCAACTGTTACTTGAGTTGGTATTTGTAATTGCTATGAAGACTCTTTCTATGTCTATGCTACGAAGAAGCTTAATCTAAATTCATATAAGCTAGCAATATATATGATTGCTATGATCTAACTATGCAATATATGATCTAAATGTTCCCCCACCAATTCTGGTTTCAAGCAAGAAGTTGCACAAACCTTAATAAAACTGACCTACGTCTAGGCTCGTCTGCGTCAAGTAATGTCGGTATTTGATAGTATCGATGGCACAGCTGCAGCACCCTGTAAATCCTTAAATATCTTCACTACATAACTGTATCAAGTGTGCGTTTCGTGTATAAGAGCGCTTTTGGGCCTCCAAACGACAGGCCTTCTCCAGATCGTATCGTAAACAGTAGCCGGCTATCTCGAAATACCCAGTTGCTTAACAATTCAATGCAATTCATTTAATTTTCCCTCGTGTTCCATTACGCAGACCATGTACCACCGGAAGCCACTTAGGCTATAAACAACTCAACTTTGAGTAAAAGCTGCTTTGCCGGCGAACAAATTACTTGCCCCTCTGTCACCGATTTCGCAAGTAAACCCCGAGAGCGAAGCGAACGGGCAAGCAAACGAGACGACGACGTCGCCGCCAGTGATTCAACAGACGTTCGCAAAGGAAATGTTTGCATTTACAGAAGCGAAGTCAGTCTATCTACAATACGACGAAAAAGTAAAGTTGTTTGTCAGGTAGTCAATAGAGAATAGCTTGTTTTAAAGGTGTTCTCTATTCTGCCATTGCGATTGCTAGTGCTGCTGCTGCCGCCGCTTTCATTTCCATTCCACGGCGACGGTAACACAGTAGTGAGCGCGATATATTTTTTCTCTCACAGCGGCTACTATTCTCAGTATTAAGAGAACCGTTTGTTATTTGGTTTTCCAATCCTTGACTCAATGTACCGAGGCTCACTTTTTACTTTTGTGTCATCTTCAATTTTGGTTCCTTTTTCCTGTGTTCGCGTATCTCTCGTGAGATCCCTTCCATCAGGAGGCAGTCAGCCAGCTGCCAGCCGTCCGTCGACCCACGATCTCCAACCCGTTCAACTTCCGCTTAGTAGCCCAGCCACTAGGGTCATAAAATTTTCTGTGCACTTTTGCACCCATTTGCTTTTGAACCATATTCCGACCCTCTATCCCCATCGTTTTCGCAGCGTTCTGGTCCGCAGCCTGTCACCTTTTTTGGCCTCTAATTTCGCCGTTATGGACAACAGTTGTAATCGCAGTCGTCGTGGTAGCTGGTGCTGGAAACGTTGTGCCTGTTTTGACATAAATTCCATCTTTGATTCACGACCCTAACCCTACAGCAGTACGATATATATACATATATATATGAGCTACTGCTACTAGCTAACTGCTATATTTGTTAGATGCACGATACACATACTAAGTAGCTAGATATTCTAAAGTGCCTGCAGATATTGCGAACATGTGCTTACATAGCAACGACCACTGAACTTCTATGTAACAAACAAAGTTAGAGTCCAGAAAACGATCCGCCAATGCAGGAAGTGCAAAATGCGTTTATTATAGAAGACTTTAACAAGTTCCAATTTGAGACCCAGTGTGCAACTTATTGCCTTTGTTCTAATGTCTTCATTAACATCGACAACAAAAAATACAGCTGAACTCTATAACGTAACAATTCTAAGAAAAAGCCCTTTTCGTACCAAATTTCACCGCATTTTAGAGGCTCATTCCGTAAATCTTTGTTCTAGGCATTTTATTGTAGATCAACAACTGACTGTGATCAACAACAGCCACAACTGAAATAACAACTTACCTTCGTGGACGTAATGTTTTCAGCAGAACACCACTTTCACCACCACTGCAAACGGCTGCAGGACTACAACAAAATCAACAACACTGACTTCTATCACGACACGTGCGTCCTGCCAAAGCAAAGTTTTCCGAGAAGAGTTAATCAATCGTATCTAGTTTAATCCACATAGGACAGAAGTGCACAGCAGATCCTCGACTCAATGTCGTCACGGGGGTTAGGGACCGTATCCCTCAATCGAGCTGCTTCAACCGTTGTCAACACGTTCTCCGTATGCGGTAACTTCAATTGTCTTTCTACGCACGTTGCCAGGGCGCTAGACTGATAATTTTACGAGAGACATCTTCTCGCTAGGACGTCTGGATACCGACTGAGAAGCGAAGCTCTTTGTGCTCTGGTGGCGTTCGGCGATCCGTGGCCGCCGCCGCGGCGCCAGCCACTAGACACAATACCCCCAAGAAGGAGTGTCCCTTTCCCCCAGATACACACATCGCCTTGCCTTTCTCTCATTTCGGTCAGCTTCATTTACCCCCCTCGTGCTCCCTTATACCGGTTTGGTTGCCGGTCCCTTCCGCTGTCGACGGACAACGCCCGCTGGCACGACCCTGTTTAGGATCCCAGTTTCTCCCGGACTCGGGCAAGAACTTTCCACTTCTCCGCGCCGCACGCTGATTCCATGGGGCTCCACCGAGGGCGCGGTGATCGGAACAAAAAAGGCGCAAAATTATAACAACCGAAGAAGAACAGGCTGGCCGGAAACGGGCTGATTGGGCGCCCGGATGAGAGTCAGCTATGCCGATGGGGCCGCTCGCTGCTTAACACGGGTTGCCTTGCGTGCTCAAAAGAGAGCTACCAGAGAAAAGGAAGAAAGATATAAAGGGTGTGCGTATGATGGGCAAAAGTGTGAAGAGGAGGTTCATAGAATTTCGCGAGGTTTTCAGGTGGATGGAGCGACGCTCGCCACAATGAGCCCCCCTCATCTCCAGCCGCTTAGACTCTAGCTCCTTACGGAGTATGCCGCCTTACAGCCTCCGCCATCCCTAACACTTCGTCGAAATTCTTCTCGTTGCAAAGAAAGGCGATTCCTTTCCCGTCTAGTAGCCTGCTTTCCTACCACCTTGGCACATCGTTGAACACTGCCATAGCTGCTGATGTCGTCGTGGTTTCGACACCGTTGCCGTCACAGCCATCGCTAAGCACCCTCACCCCCCCCCCTCAGGCTGCATTAGTGCTGCTGCTGCGCGGAACCACAAGCAGGTTGCCCGTCGGTCGAAGGCGGAAGCAAGCAGCCGACAACTTTGCCAGTGGAATTCCGGCTGAGGCTGGTCATACGAGAAAGCGCAACCACTCCAGCTTTAAGGCGGGTCGTTCTTTTTGTTTTGGTTGCCACCGCTACCGATGCTGACATCACTTCTGCCCCACTCCACCTGACATGCAGCTAACTACGCTGCGAAACTCACTAGTCACATCAATCTGACGGTTTGGCGATCTATTGGCATCGCTAGTCGCAACGGACAGCACTTTATTTCTTCATGAGCGTGTGAGCCTACGACGCTGTAGTGCAGAAGCGTCTGCTTGTTCACACAAACTCTCCCAGCGACCCACAACATTCGCGAATTTGTGATGGTAATGGCGGTGCTCCCGCTGCCGTCGCCGTTATGTTACAAAATGATGACGCGCGTTCGTAGCCCTTTACTTCGAATGTTTCGCACTAATGTAACCCAAGAGACTAAGTGACGAACGAAATTGGACCGGGTGCGGGAGGGCTAGAACCGTAAATAAAGCGTGACTGAGTTACGGCAAAGATGAAAAGGCAGAACGTTTTAAATTTCTTTGTAAGTGCGAGAAAAGATGTAGAGACTTACGAGAATTCGTTGATGTAAAATTTTATGTTTTAATCGAAGAGGGTCAGAAACCATAAGTAAATTATTTTGACAGGGATAAACATTGTGTGACGCAGAGGGCTTGTTACTTTTATTTACTGTGTGAAATAACCACAAAGTCTACTTGCCAGCGTTTTTTTTCCAAATGCGTAAGGAAAATATGCCGAAAATAATAGCAGTCGTAATTCTAGCAAAGTTAATCCCCATTCAACGATTCGAGTAAGGAAGATCACAGGGCGAAGCAGCCAATGAAGAGCTTTACATTTTAAGTGTTTTATTAGGCCTCGAGAGATTTAGCTTATGTCAAATCTCTAGTATTTTCGTATAGGCCTTTTTTGCATTTCATTCAACTTATAAAACTTCTGATCTATATCTACTTTAACAAAGCCGTCAGGTGACCTACATCGGAAATGTTTTCAACATTCATAATAAAGAGATCCGCCTCAATTCAAGAACTTCTGTGTAACTTAAGAATTTGAACTTTCGCGCGGCACAAGAGTATTGATAATTAATACTGGCCGATTTGTTTCATCATCTATAACAGGATTATCGTTAGCCTCCCGAATTTGAATGATTATGCGCAAGGTTCAGTGGTAGCAAAGTATGTACTTTTAAAAAAACATTAACAAAATTATTTTTTTTTTTTCGAAAAACGGAGTAGAACGGCTAGGATATCCTAAGTGAGTTTTTCGAAGCGGACATATCTGATGTAAGGTTAGCTATATCGCATGAGCTATGTGAATATGATTATAATTATTTTTATTATAATGGATTCGTCCTCTGTACGACAGATACCAAGCCGCTTCAGTTATCAAGCAGGCACTATAGCTGGATATAATCTTGTAACCAGTAGTATGAGTAACACATATATATATATATATATATATATATATATATAGCTCAAGGGAAGCAGCGTGTAGCGACAGGTGTAGCGTCTACTATAAAGCAAATTGCATTCAGCCCGCTATCGTATTCGGCGACTGGCAATGGTCTCTAGGCAAGCTCACCAAAGAAAAATATACGGTCACCACTCAAGAAAAGCGATTTTTATTTAGCTACACATTGGGCGGAAGCATCGGTATGACCTTAGGGAGTTCATCGGTCTAGGCAGAGCCTAAATGTGGCGGCGGGGACGCCGGCCGCGGCACTGACTACTCTAACTGCCTCATAAATAACGGACAACTGGAATTGTGAAAGGGCACCCAATCGGATCTCTCGTCTTATTCCCCAAGTTACGTCGAGCAATGCAAAGCAGATACGGTTAGCAGATGGCCCTAAGGGAACTCAGCCGGGAAAGCCAAGCAAGGAGGGTAATAGTCGACACCAAGGCGATGGACAGACGACCCTCTGGCCAGGCGAAAAAATGGGGGTGGCAAGAAGAAGGGATGGAGAGATAACGCCGTAGAATATATCACACCTCGTATACGAAGGGAATGGTCTGGCAGGAATGCAGGAACGACGTGACGCTGTTCTAACGATAAATATTGGGTCGGTTGGGTTACATACGTGTGCACATGATTACATGTAGTGAAAATATTTCTTACATACAGAAAGAACATTGACAAAATATATTGGTACAATAAATAGTAATGGTTGGGACTCTGGCGTTTTAGATCTGAAACACATCGAGAGGGTTGGGGTAGATCCGTGTGCTTCTGCGAAGCTCCAAGGGATGTTGGTTTCGGCAGCTGCGATTTATAACAGATACTCCTCGGTTTAGGTAACTGGACATGCGCGCTCATAACCGATCAGTATACTGGCCAAGCCAGCAGATAAGGCATTGTCGTGGCTCTTAAATTGCATCGATGTCAGTATGTGATGCATGTACATAAATACCACGGGTTTCTACCACGGGTAACACGAACTCTTCGTATTTTATAGCTTTCATTCGAAAAATGACGAAAACTTCAAAAAAAGTTTACAACAGAATTAGTATATGAAAGGCTTGAGCCTTTTTACCGATCATCTTCTGCAGGTGCCGTGTAAATGACCACAGAAAAACGAGCAAAAAAAGTGCGATAAAAAAGATCCAGGAAGAAATTCACTTAGCCCATTTTTCAAAAAGGACGTTACATGAAACAATACGCACGCCTAACTCGATAGAACTCATTGTCCCTGAATCTTGAGCATTCTATTTAATTGAGGATTTCAGTCCGGAATATATTCCGAAGAAGAAACCCTTCGACTTCGTAAAAGCAGAACGGCTGAATTAAACTTCGGGCGGAACGGGATTTTCATAATAATTATGATATGGATTTGAATAGTTAAACCGGGAAGTTCTAAGAAAACGTCGTTGGTAAAAATACGTTGACTTCTACGCTAAGCTTTTCGAGTTTCTTTATGCTGTTTAAAATAAACCAACGTAGTCAGTGAGTACCTGACGGTTCACAAATGTTGTACTAATATATTATAATACAAATAATGATGACGATTTGCGCTTCCGTTATTTTTATAGAAGATCATTCATGCGTTAGATACATAACGTCTGTGGAAAATCGTCTGCCGGTGAGATTTAATAAGAGGCAACCGATTTATTATGCTTATGATATATTTGTTTTTAGGGCACTGAGTGTATGCTTTGAGCTAATCTGGCAAGCTAATTTTTATTATTTATTTACCTGACTATCGGGCAACTCATCAAAGAAGTTCACTTTCTTTAGCATCACCTGCTTTCAATCTTGGTCTACCAAATGTGGTCGAGATCTAATTATTGCTGAGGGTAGTAATTTACAGCCAAGCAGTGAGGTGCTACTGTAGAAGGTCTCATAAGTAAATGCATGTCCAAGTATTGCTTCCTAATACTACCTAAAATTATTGAAAAAAAGCAAAAACGTTATTTCAACGAGGATTGAACGTCAATTATTAACAAGGAAACATGTCATAGATGAAGACTTATTGAGTTGTGTGGTTTGACCCTCGACAAGTTCTGTACGGGTTAAAGGCGAGGATATTAACTCTCACTGCAAATTCGGCAAAAGGCCTCTGAGCTACAGGACACGTTGCAAAATTGAACGCTCGATCAATCTTGACAGCTGGTCTATGAACTCTATAGTCAAGCGAATTCAATCTGAAGTCGATCACTGAACCCAACAGAGCATCGTGTTCAGAAGCCGCGTTTGCACTATCTCGACAGCAAAGACCGCCTGCTAGTTGATCTAATAAATCCAATACGGGTTTGTCTTTAAATAATGATAACCTGTCGGCGTTTCGTCAGCTATTTTCAGACGTCTTCATGTCCCGTGTGGATTTTTTAACATTTGCCTTATATTGCATTATCTTATGCTTCCGATATATAGACATGGAGACGCTTTATTGTTGAGAAATTTGAACATATTTCTATGGTACATTCTTACTACATCGTACGACAAACATGCGTGGTCGTTTCCCAGTCGCCGACCGTAGGCCTCGGTCCTATTGGTTGCTCCCGTCGAAATCGAACTTTGAAGTCGTCGGCTACCGACTGTCAATTTTGTTTGGGGGCGAAAGCAAGACGAAGCAGCTAGGGCACTTGCTTCAGTTTGCCTTTGAGCTGCGGCAATGATGGTTGCAGTCACCTTTCGTTTCCAGCCGCTTTCGCTGCCAGTCGATAACTCTGTGGGTTCACAGAACGCGAGATGAAGCCGAAACTACGGCTCGACGAATTCCCAATTGCAGGGCGAAATAAGAAGAAAACGACGACGAGGTACGTGCGACGACATGTGACACCGGCAAAGCGCTCTCACGAGAAAAGTCGTAAGTATGACACGAGGAGGAGTGCAGCGTGAAAGTAGCAGCCGCCGCCACCTAGATTGGACCAGTAGGGGGACAGGCCATAACGGATGCAGAAAAAACGGGGGGCTCTGAGGACGACAGAATACTGAGTACTCCTACCAGTGATGACGAACGAGCCAAATCACGCGTAGCGGTTCGCCGGTTTATCGCTGTTGGGTTCGTTTTGCTAGCATATGGCTTTGCTAGGAAGATCTGCGAAACTTCCTTCGGCAAACCCAGGCAACCAATCGGGGAACAGAAGCGACGCAGATGAAGATAGAGTTTGCAAGCAGCAGGACCTCCATTAAGAGCGTCGAACGCTTATTCTGTTCGCTTGCTGCTCTGTCAGCTGACGCTCAGTTAAAGAAAAAGGTAAAAAGTCTTCGGAGGAATCAAGCTGTGCGATGTTGTTAGACACGAAGTTCTCCAGGGGTCCGATCCTCCGTCACATTAAAAAAAAAGCAGCAGAAGTTCGATCCGCGAGTCAAATTTAAGGCCACGTATCGACGTTGTCTATGAGGGTAAGGCGACACACGTTCGCATTAAGCACAGCCATATAGACACAGACGAACAGGCAGTAGCCAGCTAAGGCAGCCAGTCTATTCTGCAAGGGGGCCGATCGATTGCATGGCCATCGGGGATATCGCGGAGAACGGCGACGCAGCTTCTTCCGTCGAGTGTGAGAGAGGACTAACAAACCCGGTCACCTTCAGCCGACCGCCGAACCGACTTAAGAATTTTATCTGGTACCGTGCTTTAAAAGGGAACCGAACCAGCAAGGAGTCCCATAAGCACGAGCAAAATTCAGCGCCGTCAGAGCTTGTACGACCTTCCTTTTGACCGCCTACTATGAAGCACGCTTTGCCTCTTTTTTGCCACGGTAAGGCGGCCGC